AAAACAAGTCCAAAAAATGTCAACTCGGACCTCTCGAACTCACACTTAGATCGCTTAAGTGTTAGGCCTGCCTCTCGAAGTCGCTGGAATGTCTCTGACAACGCTCTGTAGTGGTCTTGAATATCAACCCCTGTTACCAGGATGTCATCGTGAATATTACGAACACCTTTAATTCCCGTGAGCAATTTACGAAGCTCTTCGTGAAAAATCTCTGGCGCAGAGTTGGTACCGAAGTTGAGACGGCGAAACCTACGGAGGCCTGCATGTGTTGAGAACGTTGTAACCCCTCGGCTGTCCTCGTGGAGCTCCAACTGATGAAAACCATTTGCCAAGTCCAGTTTCGAAAAGACTTTTGCACCATTGACATCATGCCGTAGATCTTCAATTGTCGGAATTACGTGCCTTACCCGTTTAATTGCTCGATTTGGCGCTCCCATATCAACACACATGCGTATTTCATCAGTGCCCTTTTTCGGCGTAATGACAATTGGCGAAACCCAATCTGTGGCTGTCTCGACTTTCTCTATAATTTCAGCTTTTTCTAAACGCTCTAGTTCAGCATCTAATTTCTCTCGCAGGTGAAAAGGAACTCTACGGTGCTTCTGTGCGACTGGTTGGACTTGTTCATCAATATGCAACTTAACTTGTACCCCCTTCAATTTGCCTATTCCTTGAAACAAATCATCATATTCTGCCACCAATTGATCCACAGAGTTAACCGAGCCAGTTTGTCCTTGTGGTTTGGATACTCGAGCACCCTTTTCAGTCGCTGAAGCCCTGCCCCCATTCTGATTACCATTGACATTCTGGCTACCGCTGATCTGATTAACAATTTTCAGAATTCCCAATGCTGTTGCTGATCCTGACCCCAGAAGTGACCCCGCATTATGGGTCCCATGTACAACATAAATGTCGGCAACGTCATACCTCTCACTGTTAGATAACGTTGCCGTAAATTTGCCCAACAGTGGCAAAGGTTTTCTGGAGCCATATGCATAAAGTCGAGTGGTACACCTTGACAATTTTACTCGCTCTTTAATATGTGAAAATGTTTTTTCATCCATAATGTTGACATCAGCCCCCGAGTCAACTTGGAAGCGCACCGGATGACTGTCAACTTTCACTGTCACATGTCTGCGACATTTCTTGCTACTTTCCACTGATGAAACCCGATAACTGTCATCATCAGTCTCACTGTCGTCCGACTCAGCAATGATTCTTACATTCTTCTTGTTTTTGCACATGCGTGCAAAATGATTCTTTGTACCACACCGTCTACAATCTAACCCGTAAGCTGGGCAGGAACGCCTTCCTTTTGGGTGTGGCCATGATCCACCACAGCTGAAACATGCCTTGTCATTATCCTTTGGCTTCAACTGATCCTTGTTATCAGATTTAACAACAGCATCTTTTCGACCCACCTTTAGGACTCCTGGTTCACCTTCCATAGCTGTTGCCTGATGGTCAGCCAACTCCATCGCACGTGCCGCCTTCAGTAGATTATCCAAACTTGGATCTTCTCTTAGCGCCTTCCTTCTCAGCCGATCAGAGGTGCACTTCTGTACAATCTGATCTTTAATCTCCCGTGCAGTATCGTTAAACTGGCATCGACTAGCAGCCTCACGAAGTCTAGTAACAAATTTATCGATAGACTCGTCTTCTGCCTGGGCTAGTTGTCTAAAGTTATATGTCTGAAAAGTAATGTTGATCTTTGGCTCAAAGTATGAATTTAACTTAGCTTTTACATGTTGATACTCTTCATCTTCTTCACTCTCAAGTGTATAGTAAATATCGCACAATTGTGACCCACCATAATGTAATAGAAGAGCTTTCTGTCGCTTCTTATCTTCGATAGCCAAAGCTATAAACAAATTTTCCAACCGAGCTGTCCACTTTTTCCATTGTAATCCCAGTGACGAAGGTTCCAAACCTACATCAAAAGGTGGAAATTCTGGTAATGTAGTAGCCATACTTTCTTCGTCCAAAATAAATCACTCGTCGCCAATTTAATACTGTATAAACTTATCTACAAAACGCTTTCTGTAACAATACATGGACATGTGTTTGCCGCCATCTTATTTTTCCCTCTCTCTCTCGATCCCTCGTTACCCTTAAATATCCATACCTATCTGTGACGTCCTTATTAACGCTGAACACTACAGGCAGCACATTCACTGTGCTGCTAATATCTGCTGGAACATTAACAACATTACCAGTAATCTTGAGTTGGCCACCTCTTGGGGCCTGAAAATTAATTGAAATGCTAACCGAGGAGCAATAAGTCGACATTCCAGTTCATTTAGATCAAAGAAAGATGGTTTTTCTGGAAATTGCATGCCATTAGCAATTGCACAAGGAGGAACTTTCCTTTTCTTTAAGTGGTTGTTACAAGTTTGACAAATCCATTCAATATTATCAACACTTTTTATATTTTGTAGATACTTTGTTATATCAGGATTAAAAGTTCTCAGTCTGTCTGCAGGAGAAACAGAATGTTTATACCATAATTGGTCACAGCAAGTGCAAACATACAGAGGTTCTAAAGATACAGAGTTATGAAACTTTGCAACTAGTTCCAGTGTATCATTGTGACAATTTGTCACATTTGAATTAAAAATTCCATCTGAATGCAAACCGTTACCTTTATTCTTATGCTTTACAGAGCTGGTATTTTTTCTAGATTTTCTCCTTTCTTTATCTTTAGTAAGTCTAGCTTGCCTTTTTCAGCATTCTTCTTTTTCTCAAGTCTAGCCTCCCTTTGCTGAGTTGTCTCATTTTTTCTTCTTGTTTTAGTGGCATGATGTCTAGCTTGCCTTTGCTGATCAGTCTCATTTTGTCTTCTTGCTTTTTCAGAATTTTTCTTTTTCTCAAGTCTAGCCTCTCTTTGCTGAGTGGTCTCATTTTGTCTTCTTGTTTTAGTGGCATTACATACTTTTGTAAGTCTAGCTTTCCTTTGCTGAGCAGTTTCATTTTGCCTTCTTGCTTTTTTAGCATTATTCTCTATTGTAAGTCTAGCTTCCCTTTGTTGACTAGTTTCATGTTGTCTTTTTGCATTTTTAGCATTATTATTTTGTGCAAGTATGGCTTCTTTTTGTTGAATGGTCTCATTCTGTCGTCCTAAATTACTATAAGCTCTTATTTTTGCAGGTTTAGTTTGACTTTCTTGTTCAAATAGCTCAGTAGAATCAGTCATATCTGAATTTGTAACATCTTTTGTATACAATTGTATCATATTACAATTAATGCATTTTACACCCTTTAACTCAAATGGCAACACAATATTTTCTTCACTGGATCTTGAAGTTAATTGAAAATACTGTCTAAGATTCTCTATTCCTTCTACAGATATTAAAACACTGTAACCCAATGCTGATGGTCTTCCACATAAATCTCTTGAGTGTGAATCAAACACTTTAAATACATCAGGAAAGGGCATCATAATTGCAACAGTATTCATACCAATTGTAAGCAAACAGCTTTTAAAGTTTAGAGAATAAAATACTTCATTCAAGGCATGCTCAAGAGTCACATATGGGGGACTATTCTCACTTAAATATAATGCTCCTGAAAAGGAATCACTGTATTGCAAATTAAAAGTATGATTATCTATATCCACAAACTCAGGGACATCAGTTAACAATAAATAACTTTTATTTACACTTTGGCTGATAACACCATACAAACTATTTCCACTTATTAAAAGTGTGTTTAGAATTGACTGATCCCAAATATTCACCGATTTAATTTCTCTGTAAACAATTGCATACAATGACATAGCCACACACTGTTTACCAGCATTTGTACCAAAAATTAATTCATTACCCTGATTAAAATCAGCATGTACTGTACAGACAGCATCAACTATATCATTTATAGTCATTGGGCCTGGATTTTCCTCCACATCATTTGACAGCCTTAGTAACAATGGCACATACACATTATGATAGTATATCATTTGAACATACCACATGTACAATTCACTGTTCTTTTGCCTTTTATTTAATTGACTTTTCAAAAAAGGCAAGTAGAATACATTAAAGTAGAACATTAATAGTATTTGATTCCAATGTTTGCCATTTAGGCGGCACAGCCTGCTGCGACTGTCTGTAAAATTGTGATGTGAGCCAATTCTGGAGCGATAAACTTGAATAGTAACGCCCATATTGTTTCAAATGTTGACTTCAATAATAAAACAATAGCTGTCTTATATTCGGCTGTAAATTTACCTGCAAGATGGAAGATTTTTGTTTGAATGTAACAGCACAATGACTGTCACTTTATATACCCGCACAGTGGCAAGGTTCAATGTCAATACCTGCACAATGGCAAGGTCTAATTTCAATACCTGCACAATGGCAAGGTCTAATTTCAATACCTGCACAATGGCAAGGTCTAATTTTGGTACGTGGCCTTTGACGTAAATGATGCCCGATCTATGACGACCAGTGCGAGCAACAATGGCTCCGGTTTATTTGATTTTTCGATACGTGCACCTCTGACACGTAGGGCCGGCGCCTGACCAAAAGTCAGTGCAGGCAAGTTTGCCTCGTGCGAAAAGTCTGAAAAGATCGATTCGCGTATTTAGTATATATGAGTACGTTTGTGATCGAAATTTCTCGAACACAATGGAACAATGGATAAATTAGCGATCAAAATAAACAAATATCGTAAAAAATATCTTACCTTGGCCTCAAAATTTGCCAAAACCTTCGAACGAAGAACAGATTTGCAAATACCTTCGAAGCTCAAACGACAAAAGTCGACAATAGACAATTCACGAAGTTTTCCGAAAGCAGCGAAGAACGCGCGAGCGAGTATGTTCGTAATCTTTCGTACATCCGACGATGGCCGAAGATGGACGGACAAACACACGCACCCACAGACACTTTTCAACTACATAGTGGTTAGCCGCGCATGCGCAGCGGCTACCCACAAAAATTAGAAAGGGCTCTCAATTTGTTACATTTCACTCAACAAAAAGTATGTTAATTTTCATTTAGGTATTGATAAAAATCAAGAGGCAAGTGGAAGAATAAATGTCGCTGAAGAAGGAAAACTGCAGTTTTGGCGTACTTTTGTAGTCAATCCAGTTGATAAAGAAATTTTCAGATATTTAATTGACCACGGAGCAAACGTTTACTTCGAGCACAAAGATGGTGGAACAGTTTTATGGATTGGAACGAGAAATGGTTTAGTCGATCTTGTTAAATATTTTGTTCAATATGGTCCAGAACAAAATTTCCACGCAGATAGCATCGCTCTGAAAAGTGCAATACAGTCTCGATCGTTAGAAATTGTGAAATATTTTGTTGAAGATTGTGGTGCTGACATAAATATTAAAGATGAGTCGGGCAAAACTGCTTTACATCATGCTGTTGATGATGGCGTAACAGACATTGTCAAATATTTAATTGATCAATGTGGTGCTGATGTGAATGGAAAGGTTACTGGCGGGTGGACTGTGCTGCACGCGGCTATTTCAAAAGGTACGCTAGAAATAGTGAAGTATCTTATTGCAAAAAACGCTGATATAAATGCAAAGAATGATGATGGATGGACAGTACTGCACAGTGCTGTTGCTGAAGGTACGCTAGAAATAGTAAAATATCTTATTGAAAATGGCGCTGATGTAAATGGCAAGGATACCGACGGCTGGACAGTACTGTACGCGGCTGTTACTAAAAGTACATTAGAAATGGTAAAATATCTTGTTGAAAAGGGCGCTGATGTAAATGGTGAGAATAATAGCGGCTGGACAGTGCTACACTCTGCTGTTACTGAAGGTACATTGGAAATGGTAATATATCTTAGTGAAAATGGCGCGGATGTAAATGGCACGAATACTGAGGAGGTGACAGTGCTGCACGGGGCTGTTTCTAAAGGCGCGCTAGAAAAGGTAAAATATCTTCTTGAAGAAGGCGCTAACGTGAATAGCAAAGATCTTGAAGGGTGGACAGTGCTGCACGCTGCTTTCTTTAAAGGTTCTTTAGAAATAGTAAAATGTCTTCTTGAATGGGGAGCTGATATAAATGGCCAAAATATTGGCGGGGTAACAGTACTGCACACTGGTGTTACTCTGGGTACGCTAGAAATGGTAAAATATCTTGTTGAGAATGGTGCTGATGTCAATGATATGAGTAATAACGGGCGGACTGCGCTTCACTTTGCTGTTACTGAAAGTACGCTAGAGATGGTAAAATATCTTGTTGAACAATGTGGTGCTGATGTGAATGGAAAGGATACTAGCGGGTGGACAGTGCTTCACGCTGCTATTTCAAAAGGTACGCTAGGAATAGTGAAATATCTTGTCAAAAAAGGAGCTGATATAAATGCAACGAATGATGGTTGGACAGCGCTACACAGTGCTGTTACTGAAGGCACGCTAGAAATGGTAAAATTTCTTGTTGAAAATGGCGCTGATGTAAATGGCAAGGATACCGACGGCTGGACAGTACTGTACGCGGCTGTTACTAAAGGTACATTAGAAATGGTAAAATATCTTGTTGAAAAGGGCGCTGATGTGAATGGAAAGAATACTAACGGCTGGACAGTGCTGCACTCTGCTGTTACTGAAAGTACACTAGATATGATAATATATCTTATTGAAAATGGAGCTAATGTAAATGGCACGGATACTGAAGGGGTGACAGTGCTCAATGGGGCTGTTTCTAAAGGTACGCTAGAAGTGGTAAAATATCTTGTTGAAAAAGGCGCTGATATAAATGGCAAGAACACTGGTGGAGTGACGGTGCTGCACACCGGTGTTACCAAAGGTGCGCTAGAGAAGGTAAAATATCTTCTTGAAGAAGGCGCTAACGTGAATAGCAAGGATCTTAATGGATGGACAGTGCTGCACACTGCTTTCTTTAAAGGTACTTTAGAGATGGTAAAATATCTTGTTGAAAAGGGCGCTGATATAAATGGCAAAAATAATTCTGGGGTGACCGTGCTGCACACTGCTGTTACCGTGGGTACGCTTGAAATGGTAGAATATCTTGTTGAAAATGGCGCTGATGTAAATGGCAAGGATATTGAAAAGGTGACAGTGATTGACGCCGCTGTTTCTAATGGTAAATCAGAAATTGTAAAATATCTTTCTAAGAATGGCGCCAGTGTGAATGACAAGGATACTGCAGGGCGGACAGTTTTGCACAATGCCGTTCCTATAGGTTCGTTACCAGTGATAAAATGTCTCGTTGAAATGGGCGCTGATGTAAACGACAAGGATGACGATGGTCGGAATGTGCTGCACTCTGCTGTTTCTCGAAGTACACTAGAGATGGTAAAATACCTTGTTGAAATGGGCGCTGATATAAATGGCAAGGATACTGAAGGATGGAGTGTGCTGCACGCCGCTGTTTCTAAAGGTCCAATGGAAATGGTGAAATATCTTGTCGAAAAGGGCGCTGATGTAAATGGCAAGGATATTGGCGGGGTGACCGTTCTATGTACTGGTGTAACTAACGGCACGCTAGAAATGGTCAAATATCTCATTGATATGGGCGCTGGAGTGAATGACAAGCATAGTGACGGTCGAACTGTACTGCAAACTACTGTTTCTAAAGGTACGTTAGAAATGGTAAAAAATCTTGTTGAAATGGGCGCTGATGTAAATAGCAAGGATAATAAAGGGTGGACAGTTCTGCACTATGCTGTTATTAAAGGCACTCTACCAATTGTAAAACATCTTGTTGAGAGTGGCGCTGATGTAAATGGCGAAGATGCTGACGGGTGGACTGTGCTGCACTCCGCTGTAACTGAAGGTACGCTGGAAATAATAAAATATGTTGTGGAAAAGGGCGCTAATGTGAATGGAAAGAAGTCTAACGGGAAGACAGTGCTGCACTCTGCTGTGACTAAAGGTACGTTCGAAATTGTGAGATACCTGGTTGAGCACGGTGCTGATGTGAATGGTAAAGATGCTGATGGATGGTCAGTGTTGCACATTGCTGTGGATACAGGTACATTTGAAATTGTCCAGTATTTAGTTGAGCAGGGTTCTGACGTGACTCTTGAAAGTAAAAGAGACTTTCATTCTCTTGGTATTGACGTCCTGGAAATGGCTATTGTGAACAATTCAGTTGTCTTGGTCAATTTTTTGTTGGAAAAGGATATTGCTGTGTGGAGAATTGGGACATTTCTTGTTGAAGAAAAGCAAATGAGTCTTATTGAATGGTGTATTTATATTGGTCATGATGAAATTGCAGATATCCTCAAAAGGTCCATAAAACATCGTCAGAAAATTCAAATGTTAAAAACATTCAATTGCAACCAGTTAGAGAAGGTAATAATTAGAAAATATTTCAAACATATATAGGGTTGTTTTAATGTCATTGTGCATTAACAGAGGTAACTGGCGGGTCTATAATTTATAACGTCTAGTTTATAATTTATAACGTTTAGTTACGTCTTTAAGCTAAAATTGCAAATGTTGTTTTCATTTGAGATACTTAAGGTGGTGTTGCACTATGCAATTTTTCTTGCAACTTGCAATGCAATTCTACTCCTGAGGCATCTAATGTTGTCAAATACAAACATTTCTTACGATATGCTAACGTTTCCTTCGCATTTCGTGCACTCTTTGCAAATTAACATCACTCAAAATTATAATTTAATTGCAAGTTGCAAGGAACTGAAATTGCATATGTAACAGCGCCTTTCGTATAACATATTCTTTTATACTTTTCGCTTGCATTTATTACAACACTTGAATGTGTTTTCTTCCTTTCTTAATTCTCACCATAGTAAAAAAATTGTGTTTCTCTCTGATAGATCGGAGTTCCAATGCAGGACTTTGTTGCAAAGAATCAATTCAAAATTGGCGATGGTTGTTGTGGTTCTTGTGTCTATGTTGGGCTTATGAAAGATGGAAGTGAAGTTGCTGTTAAAAGAATTCTAGTACAAAGTGACGATAACACAGTTGAGAATGAAAAGGAGATAATGAATCTTATTAAAACAGACAACTCTCCATTCATAGTGAGTTATCGACATTTTCACCGTGGCGATGACTTCATGTATCTTATTGTGGATCTTTGCGAAGAAAACTTGAGGGAACTTGTTCATGCATGCAATATTGAACATCTACAAGAGCAAGGTCCACGAATGATTAAGGAAGTTCTATTCGGACTTGAATTTCTTCATGGAAAAGGAATATTGCACAGAGACCTAAAACCATCAAACGTCCTGGTTGATATTGAAGGTCGCATGAAATTAGCAGATTTTGGAATAAGCCGTGTCCTAAATGACGATGAAACGACAGTTCAAACATTCGCTAAAGGTACTCCAGGATGGATGCCACCAGAAGTAATCAAAGCAATAGAGAAAAACGAAAAAGGTCCTTTCAAAAGGAAATCAGATGTTCAGGTCGCGGGTATGATTGCTTTCTTCGTCTTAACTAAAGGTGAACACCCTTTTGGGTCTTCGTTTGATCGAATGAGAAATATTTTAGAAGGAAACTGTGTAAGTATTGACAGACTTGATGATCGTGAAGCTCGGCATTTTGTGTCGTGGCTGATTAGTCATAAGATTGATGACAGACCTTATGCTCACGAAGCGCTGAGGGATCCTTTCATTAATGGAGACTAAGAAAATTTGGACTACAAAATGAATTTGTCAAAGGAGATGAAACAATGATTTTATAGAGTTATCGGCCAAATTTTTAAATCATAGGGGGGGGCGCCCCGAGGCCGCTCGTTACGCGGCTGCCCCCCTCCTACTTTTTAGGTCCACGCGCCTATGGTATTGAAAGCCTAATAACTATGAGTTTCCAGTGGCCTCCAGGCGGCTCTGTAGTGTATATCTAAGACCATGTTCACACGGTAACGTTTTCAAGCGTTTTCATTTTCGTTTTTATGTCAAAACGGTTTCAAACACCGTCAAATCGTAATAAAAGTTGAAGCTAATTTAACATATTGAGCATATTTCCCCTTGTGGACAAGGTCGTGTGTACAAGGCATCAAAGCGATTAACTAGATAAAAACGATTTTGAAAATGTTCGAAAACGCAGCTCGTGCACACATAGCGTAAAGTGTAAATTAGTCTAAATTAGTGCGCCAAAAGTTCGACACAGGTTCGTCAAACCAGCACCCCCACTTATCTTCGCCGCATTTAGTCTGTCGCTGCTGATCATATTTTAGAATCTGAACCTTAGGAAAAGTCATTTGGAAAAGTCATCTAATTGCGAACACATTTATCACCAGTTATCACTCTAGTTATATAGCGTGCATTGGTACAAATGCGCGCGGCTCATGCATTAGTGATCTTTTGTACATATAACTATGGTTTAGATGAACTATTTACAGTTACTATATAGGTTACGATCGCTGAATGAAAACCTCGACAAAAGTATCGATTACAAGAGTGATCTTTTAAAAAGCACATGTGTTGTAAAAAACGCAAACAAATATCTCGACAATTTCCACGTCTCCAGATTAATTTGTATCTGCAAACATTTCGTTACGGATTCAAAATTTTACGCGTCCACACGTATCGGGATTCGTTGCGTTTTCGGCCGTCCACACGTACCTGCGATACCATACAATACCAACAATTGCTTTAAACACGGAGGAATCTTCAGTTAAACAAGTACGATCGTACTATAGTGGACCAGGAACTGCGTAACCGAGTTTAATTTCTGAGCTGCATTGTATTTATAACAATGGAGAGGACAATGTATTTCTAATCATTTGCGTTTACTTATACAGGGTGTCCCAAAAAAAGAAAACTATTGAAATCACTCATTGTTAAAAATTGAATGCCGTGTTCACGAATTTTAGCCCGTGGGGATTTAATGCAACTTATAAAATGCTAAATGCTTTGTGTTGCTAGAGAAAGGGGACATGTCGAAGGTCATGGTCCTTGAGATGCACATTTAAATAATGTTATACACCTGTGAGTCCAACAGAGTGCTTAGCCATTCAAACTCTAACAATTGCCTTGTTATGGGTGATTTCAATAGTTTTCGGTTTTTTTGGGACACCCTGTGTATAGGCTGAATATTAATTATATGTATATATTATTTGCTGCAAATATATCAAGAATTTCTTGTAACTTGCTTCAAAGGTCAAAAGTAAAAATTCGAACTCCGTCAATCCATGCGGAATATTGCTTAGAATAATTGTGCCAAGTTTCATTCCGATCAAACAAGTAATGCTAGAGCCTTAGGGTTTTTTTAAAGAGCGTCGCCCCCTGCTTTACAAACTTGCCGTAAGAGAGTCGTTGTATTAGCCTCCTCCGTAGGCATCTCTTATGTATTTATTTTAGATATAAATACATAAGAGATGCCTGCGGAGGAGGCTATCGTTATATAAATTTTTAAAGTAATCATTTAGCTTTCTTAAATTGATGAAGGTGAGTTGGAATACCAAATTTCTTCATGTAAGCTATCCCATAACAACAGTATAAGCTACGTTTTAAATAATTCGTTTGTGGTTTTGGTAAATTTCATTTAAATTGATTATTTAAAAAATCATACTCAGTATAGTGGAGAGAAACAAGATTTGTAAATCTGGAAGCGTTTTAATATTTTCAACATAAACTGAGCCTTTAACCTCGTAGCTAGTGTCTTTTATCGCAAGCACCGATTCATAGATTCTAACCAATCTGGTTTGTAGTTATGTAATTTTTTGTAAGTGTGTCGCCTAATTCACCCCAAACCGAGCAATTGTAGTCAAAATGAGGTTGTATTAAAGCGAAAAAAACTGAACTCTTGCCGCTTTGCGCCCTTACGCGATATAACGCTCCAATAGCCGAAGAAATCTTTTTAGATATGTTGTCAGTGTGCTCTGCCCACGAGAAGTGACTATCAATATACATACCCAAAGATTTGGAAACATTGCCCCTTATTTCACGATTGTTAATGGAAATAGATATGTCGTTTTCGCCGTAGTATTTGAGTTCTTTGCCGCGATTCTATTATCATGAATTCCGTTTTCACTATACATAAGAACTTAGCTTTTGGCTATAAGCCAGGTATTTAGATGTTGGAATTCATGGTTAATAACAAATTGCATTTTGTCAAATGAATCAGCTGAATAACTTCTATCTATACTCCTATCGTCCGCAAATATTCTGGGCTGAGATAGTTCAAGCAATTTGGCACGTTGTTTCGGTCGTTAATATAGCTCAGGAATAGTAGTGGTCCCAAACTACTACCATGTGGAACTCCACAAGTAAACGAGATAGAGCCATTTACTTTGCATCTTTGTTTTCTATTTTTTAGATTTGATTTAAACCAATCCAGACTACCTGGATCAACTTCATATATTATTAGCTTTAGCAAAGGAATTTCGTGGTGAATGAAAGCATTTTATAGATGGATAAAGATTATTATCATTTAACAAGCCGTTATGTATATTAACCGACCAGTCATTTGTTGACTCTTGTGTACTATAAAATACTCTACACCCAGATTAACATGAAACCAGCAGGCTGTTTTCAATAAAATAGTGATAAAGTTTGTCGTAAATAACTTTGTCGAAGATTTTGAACACTGGTGGTAGGATCAATATCGGTCTGTTAGTCTGTAGTTACCTAGATCAGTTTTATGGCCGCTTTGTATAAGGGTGACACTCTAGCTTCCTTTCAATCGTAGGCAAATATTCCAGTCACAATAGAGTGGATAAAAATTTCTGTCAGTGAAGGTGCTATTACATCCGACGCTATTTTCAACAGTTTAAAATCCAGCCTGGCCGATTTCTTAACATCAATTGTCTTCAGATGTTTTTTAACTTTGTTAATTCATGGGCTTTGTAAAGGAAATGTTGGCTGTTTGTAGTGTCAGGAATTTCAGCGGCAACATTACCACCAACAATCGAAGGGTAAGTGTTGATACGAATACGCTAGAATTGTTTCAGAGCATGCGTTATTGCGCGAAATTATAGGCCCGATAGTGTGCTGAACGCGTGTTGTAAAATAACGCGGTTGAGAGAAATACAGGTGTTTGCAAATACTGGCTTGGATGTGACCGTTGTTACCAATTTTTCCATGCCAGTTGCAGAGGCGTGGACTTCGCAACAGCACTTTCAGGAAAATTTTATTGCTGATGTGTTGCTAGGGTGAAGTGTTGCAAGGTGCATATGTAAATAAGATGTAAATTTCAATGATGTAAATAAGTTGTAAATAATGATGTAAATGAGGTAAAACTGTACGTCAAATTATCTTGTCAGAAATTAAATGAAGCAATGTACCATTATAGTACACAGTATTTCATGAAATAACCACCCTATTAACCAACTATTTCATCACCCAGTTGACTTTAGTACCCATTTATGATCTAAATACCCTATGAAAACTACTTCATTACCCAACTGACTTAAGTATATACCCAACTGACTCTATAGCTAGTACCCAGTAATTTATTATCTTAGTTACCACCCTATTAACCAACTATTTCATTACCCAACTGACTCTAGTACCCAGTAATTTATGATCTAACTACCCTATGAAAACTACCTCATTACCCAACTGACCCTAGTACCCAGTAATTTATTATCTAACCACCCTATTAACCAACTACCTCATTACCCAACTGACTCTAGTACCCAACCACTCAATTCAACCACTCTAGTATCCAGTAAGGTCTTCTGTGTTCATGGAGAGGGGTACAGCGCAACGAAGGCCCTGGTCATACGTAAAAATCTCCAAGATTCTTGGGGATTTATCGCATTCGCAATAACGAACAATCGAGTCTTGGTAAAGAAGTGGTTAGATAATATAATACTGCGCACTACAGTGGTTAGGTATTAAAGTAGTTGGGTAATAAAGATAATAGCAAAAGTCTTCCACGATCCTGCAAGATCATGGCAAAATCTTCCAATACTCTGCACGATCATGGCAAAATTTTCCAGGATCTTGCAGCTTGAGGGATCCTGCATGAATGATCATGGTAAAATCTTGACAAATCTTGCATGATTTAACAAGGTCTTAGAAAGATCCTGGCAGGATCTTGTGTTAAGTCTTGCTAGAACTTGACAAGTCAAAGTCAAGTTCTTGACAAGATTGTCAACCTTGGACTGGGTTAATATCGTATGGAACATGCTGTTTATACTTGTTCAAATTCGATAATTGCGTTCGACGAAGGAGAACGCTTCTTAGCCGTGTCATATCGAGATTTGCGATGTCAGATTCTGATGGGTCGTCATAGTAACTGGAGAGCATGTGCTCACTCTGTTTTGACATTTTGTTGTTAGTTAAAGCATATGAGCCATCACTGTTGTTAAATTACTCATTTTGCGGGTAAACTTTTGAATCACATACGCTGTGAGCCTGTGACGTTGTAATGTTAACATTTTTGTTAATGATCGTGAACCGAAATCAACACATTCCGAACGCACATCACTAATCTGTGATTACTTCTAGTCTATAGTATTTTAGCGACGAATAGCCTTCAATGAGGTTTTATCTGTCCTAGTGAATCTTTGTTTTAAACTTTTTCTCGATTAATTACTATAACGTACTAAAATTTTGATGAAAATTAGCCAAAACCAAACCATGGCCAGAAAATTCGGATCGACATAATTAACATTCTACTTCCGTCTAAATTTGCATATAGCGTCAAAATAAAGCTTCGTGAGTTTATAGTAAACTGTAATGTGCACAGTACTAAACGCTATAAATACAGCTTTAGGTGGTCGATTATAATTTGCCTTAATTGCTCGTTGCAGAGAAAGTTAATGTTAATATTTTGAGGCAGTATTTCAAAATGTTTTATCAGTATTCGTCCAATCGTCCTACATTTTCAAAACAATGTTTTGGTCATTTATCACGTTGAATACCATATAAAACGAAAACCGTAATAGCGTAGAAATAAAATAAAAAATACAGAGCCGACATAAACCTTTACCAGCAAAATATTACTTCAGGATCTTTAATATGACACAAATTACAAGAAACAACCGGGGCAAATGGCAAAGATGCCATGATTTTCTTAAATTTTTGCGAAATTTAAGAATGCGCAATATAATTTATAGCTCTGCTAACGAATAATATTTGAACAGATATGCAAATTTGCTATGGCAATCTCCATATTCCATGTCCGCATTCCGCAATTTCTGGCCATTAGTGGTGGGCGATACCGATACCAAAGTATCGATACTTCCGATACTCAGAACTCAAAAGCTGGTATCGATACTTTTGTAAAATATCGATGATTTCGATACTTGTCACGCGGTCAAACTATTGTTAATATTTGATGTTACATGAAGTTCTGCGATTAATATTTGCATGAGTACAGTTTTATTTCCAGTCATTTTCCAGGTGTTTTTTTAATGCAATCTTTTTTGTAAAATTACTCAAATGGCCTAAATGGCATCTATATCGAATGTTCGTCCACAAAGTGTAGTCTAGGATCATTTTGAAAAGTTAGATACCACACTGAAGAATGATTATTGTTGTTGTAAGAATACATTACATTTACTGATAGTATGTGTATTTTTGTGTCTAATGACAAGTATCGGTATCGAAAAAGTATCGATACCAGTGGTATCGATGAAAAAGTACTTGGTATCGTATCGAAATCGATACTCATGGTATCGCCCACCACTACTGGCCATGGGTCGCACTCGGCCGCCGAAATGATAGATTTCGCAATCGTCATGCTTTTCGCGCGAGTAAGCCGCGAAATTCGTGACTCGTCACGCGTGGTCATGTATTTCGCAATGGTCATAAATTTCGCTTGACACCGGCAGACCGGCTCCGCCCCGGGGTATTGGATCTCGTGATCACAGATTAGGTTTGAAGGACACGACGATCACTAAAATTTATCGAAAGTATTTGTTTATGTACGATGCTGTATCGTGTCTGTATTGTATAAAGAATTGAAGGTACGAAACCCAAATCATAATAGTAATTTGCAGTAATTTGCCCCAGCGCGACATACTCAGATGCGAGTATAATGAAGGCAATGTGTATGGTTATTGCGCTATAGTATACAGAATTGCTATAAAATAATTTATTGATGAAACGCCTGCAAATATGATTGAATTTAAGACGGAATTTTATATATTTCTGGACCGGCACCACTTTCATATTACACACCGCGATAAAAGAGGTTGTTATTCTGTAATAAGAAATAAGAAATCCTTTAGAATAGCGAGTAAGAAAATTGTGAATTTCGTAGCTTTTATATCGAATGTAGTAAACAAGACGCCTTCTCTGGCGTTAACTCTGGCTTGCCGCACGTCCCAGTCTTGAATATAAAGCTTCTGAACATAAACACTACGGTTTATACTCATTGATTTAGAAGCCTTGTGAAACTAAATGTTGTTCGATGTTCAGGCCATGTTTTAAAATTAAAGATGATGTAAAGTCCGTTCTGAGCATATATTCTGCGCATAACAATGTTTGTTTACGTTGGTTATATAATCTTTACATGACGTTGCGTCGTTATAATTTTATTATTTTCTTCTCGCTCGACGGGCTGTGATCTGTGATGAATATGCTTATTTTTTATTATATTTTGAAGAAAATATTGTTATATTTTGAAGAAAATATAAAGCGAAGCTTGTAAATAAACCGGCCGTTATTTAAAACGTTATATATTTGTAATTGTAGGACAAGCGAGAAGGTGGCGTCTGTAGCGACAACAAATAGCCTCGCCATTTCGGGCCTTATTCAACAAATAAATTCTTGGAGCATTCCTTTCAGCATAATATTGCTTTTTCTAGCAGCTTTATGATAAGATAAGTTATCGTTCGATTATCGAGCAATTCGAGCCTCTTCGCCTTGCGACATGAAATAAAATAATTTTGCTCCCGAACTGCCGTTTGTAATACAACGCGTTAATATCGCATATCATTAACATTCCAAAAGTTGCTCCCCCACTGATGGAATGTGTTGATGCGCGGAATTTATGCGCAGAACGGACTTTACCTCATCTTTAAGTATAGAAGTGTTGTCAACCCGCTAAATGTTGTTCGACATTCAGAAGCACTGAAGCACATCGTACTTTAACGAGAGGTACGCATGCGTACACGTGGTTTGCCAATAGACAAATGGAGGTCACTGGTGCTTAGCAGTGAGTGTTGTATGAAATACTTCACCAAAATAATCTAGACGAGTATAAAAAATGTTATATATGTTGCAATGCGTACACAATAATTACAATACTCTGTATTGGTTGATTGTTACCATGGTGCTGCAAAAATTATTTGGTAATACTACTGTACTACAATACTATGACTGTCAAACTGAAATAAATAATTGCTCAATTTGGATAGATAAACGTATAGCCATTGAGGGACAATGTGTCTCAAAAGCTCTTGTTGCTTTCATGACTATCGGAATTTCACTGTACAATAACACAATAACACAGTAACACAGGTGTTGTACATGCGTTTAAATTTGTGACAATCCTGGAGTTCGTTAAAGCTTCCCCTGCAAGTTTCTCTTAACAAACTTCTTCTTGTGTCTGGGTTAAAGTTTGTGCTAAGATCTTTGTGTTGTGCAGATTTCAGTAGTGAACATACTCATGATATTTAGGACTTTTCATAGTAGCAAAAACTTTCTATGTTCGGTTCATAATCTTACAATGTGCACACTTGCACATTCTAAAGTTTATAATCGTCAAGAATTTACTTCTTCAAACTGCGTATCTTCCTCATCTTTGGTAGAGATTGGATCAAAGTCAATCAGACTCAGTTGAATCATTTCATAATATAAACTTAGCCTCTGGTTAAGGTCCGGAAATAATTTGCTTCGTTTGAAGTGGCAGGGTGGTTGTCCCACTTATTTAAATCAGTGTCAGAGACACTTTAATATGGCTTATAAACACAGGGCAATAAAGCAGTTGGAGATGATGAAATTTCCAGTTTCACTGTAAACTTACATGGCATAGTTTAACATCTATTTGAATACACTGATCTAACTAGTCTAAGATTGCAAGTTTTTGTTAAAAGGTCTGGACATGTTGAACCCTCTGCTAGATCCTGCTAGGCCATAGCACCTGTAACAGGGAATTCTATAAAGTTTGAATGAATTAAATTTCAAACTTTTGTTATTGAAAAAAATATTGGTCACAAAAACTAGATTATATTTTGCTTTTTAAGGGAGCGCTGGTGGTATTTTGGAGCAAGTTTAAATTGTTTTACAGCGTAGTCATTTTACTCAATGCCCCAGCATGAGAAGAGCATCATAACTCCAGGCTTAGCAGAAAGATTGGTAGACAGAGATATGTCGGAAAATAAACAATCCAAGAATACTGTTTGTAAACAGAAAGAAATTGAAGAAGAAGTGGAAGGAAAAAACATACAAAATGATGAAGATTGTGATAATGGTAAGAATACTGTACTGAAATTTTTACATATGGGGCCGGTTGTTCAAAAGCAGGTTAAATTTAACCCTAAATTAGTGCTAAACCTGGGGCCGGTTATTCAAAAGCCGGTTACCGCTAACCCAAGGTTAAAAATGCCTAACCCAGGGTTAAATTTTAAACCTAGGTTAGCGTTAACCCTGGGTTAAAATTCATAAAAAAAATAACCCTGCTGGCTAGGTGAGTTAACTTTTTATCCTGGGTTAACTTCGATTCAAAATGGATGAATAAGGAGCTGAAACACGTAAACACGTATAATTCGTCATGAATTAAACACTTTTGAAAGGTTTCACGAATAATTTCGTCAGCAAAGAACTATTTAAGTTTGACTTCGTTCGGTTTCAGCTTATGTATTGATTTATTTATCTTCGCTTCAATGCAATACACGATAAATGAAGACAACCGTACAAATTGAAACATCGTAATCGAAATATTTGTTTCGGATGCCAAAATTCGGTTCTTTTGATTGGCAGCAAGTGGTAAGGCTACGTTTGTTCCTGAATTTTGAATAATCAAAGAATGCCTGAAATTTTAAGATAGATGTTTATAATTTGCTTAACTTTATTTCACATCGACATTGTTTATCATACAAAATTGCCTTTCATTTCGAATCTTTCCAAAATTCCATGCACGGAAATTACTGTTCAAAACAACGTCCCTGCGACCCTGCCCTCACAGCATATAATCTTTCGACTGACAATATATCCTCGTCGGGTAAAGTTTTGACGCTCGTTTATTGACCAATCGAAAACGTTCTTATATCCAATTTAGTCCTTAAAATACATTTAATCTTAGGTTAAATATTTTAACCCTCAGGGGCCGGTTGTTCAAAAGCAGGTTAAATTTAACCCTGGGTTAGTGCTAAACCTGGGTTAAAATCCTTAACCCTAGGTTAGCTAAACCTGGGTTAAAACTGTGTTGTTCAAAGCAGGGTTAGTGGTAGGGTTAGTTAACCCAGGGTTAAAATATTTAACCTAAGGTTAAATATATTTTAAGGACTAAATTGGATATAAGAACGTTTTGATTGGTCAATAAACGAGCGTCAAAACTTTACCCGACGAGGATATACTGTCAGGCGAAAGATTATATGCCGTGAGGGCAGGGTCGCAGGGACGTTGTTTTGAACAGCAATTTCCGTGCATGGAATTTTGGAAAGATTCAAAATGAAAGGCCATTTTGTATGATAAACAATGTCGATGTGAAATATGTCGATGTGCAAATTATATATAAACAATCTATAATCTATTTTAAAATTTCAGCCATTCTTTGATTATTCAAAATTCAGGAACAAACGTAGCCTTACCACTTGCTGCCAATCAAAAGAATCGAATTTTGGCATCCGAAACAAATACTTCGATTACGATGTTTCAATTTGTACGGTTGTATTCATTTATCGTGTATTGCATTGAAGCGAAGATAAATAAATCAATACGTCAGCCGAAACCGAACGAAGTCAAACTTAAATAATTCTTTGCTGTCGAAATTATTCGTAAAACCTTTCAAAAGTGTTTAATTCATGACGAATTATACGTGTTTACATGTTTCAGCTCCTTATTCATCCATTTTAAATCGAAGTTAACCCAGGATTAAAAAGTTAACCCACCTAGCTAGCAGGGTTAATTTTTTATCAATTTTAACCCAGGGTTAACGCTAACCGAGCTTTGAGCAACGCAAATCAACCAAGGTTTAAAATTTAACCCTGGGTTAGGCATTTTTAACCCTGGGTTAAAGTTAACCGGCTTTTGAACAACCGGCCCCAGTTAACTAACCCTACCGCTAACCCTGTTTTGAACAACATAGTTTTAACCCAGGGGCCGGTTGTTCAAAAGCAGGTTAAATTTAACCCTGGGTTAGTGCTAAACCTGGGTTAAAATCCTTAACACTAGGTTAGCTAAACCTGGGTTAAAACTGTGTTGTTCAAAGCAGGGTTAGCGATGGGATTAGTTAACCCAAGGTTAAAATATTTAACCTAGGATTAAAAGTATTTTAAGGACTAAATTAGATATAAGAACGCTTTCCATTGGTCAATAAACGAGCGTCAAATGAGGAAATATTGTCAATCGAAAAATTATATGCCGTGAGAGCAGTAACGTTGTATTGAACTGCAATTTCCGTGGATGGAATTTTGGAAAGTTTAGAGATGCAAGGCCATTTTGTATGTTAAACGATGTGAAATAAAATAAAGCAAATTATAAACAATCAATTTTAGAATTTCAGGCCATGTTTGATTATTAAATTCAGAAACAAACGTAGTCTTACCACTGCATGCCAATCAAGAGAATCGAGATTCAGTTGACGTTTGAAATACAATGAGCTAAGATACCTGATACAATGGAATCCGAAAAAAATATTTCGATTACGATGTTTCAATATGTACGGTTGAATGCATTTATCATGTATTGCATTGAAGCGAAGGTAGTCAAACTTAAATAATTCTTTGCTCTCCGAAACTGTTGGTAAAACCTTTCAAAAGTGTTTAATTCATAAAGAATCATCCGTATTTACGTGTTTCCGCTCCTTATTCATCCATTTTGAATCGAAGTTAACCCAGGATTAAAAAGATAAACCACCTAGCTAGCAGGGTTAATTTTTTATCAATTTTAACCCAGGGTTAACGCTAACCGAGCTTTGTGCAACGCAAATCAACCAAGGTTTAAAATTTAACCCTGGGTTAGGCATTTTTAACCCTGGGTTAGCGTTAACCGGCTTTTGAACAACCGGCCCCTGTAGTAGGTCGTATAATGTATCAATACATTGGTTTTGTCTTGTTTGTAGCTTCATGTTTAGTTATATTTTGTGGTTTACTATTATTTCTTTTAAAAAATTAGGAACGTGCTGCGTACCTAGTTTTAAAAAGGTCCCAACAAAATTAAGCGTACTATTAACGATGTCTGCGCATATTCCTAAGAGACGTACCTAGGGTAGTTGTAGTTTCGAGTTATTTGGAGTTTAAAAAAAGCAGTCGGTAATTTTAAAATGTATGTAAGGTAGTAGTGGTTGTGGTCGTAGTGATAGTAGTGGTTGTGGTCGTAGTGATAGTAGTGGTTGTGGTCGTAGTGATAGTAGTGGTTGTGGTCGTCGTGATAGTAGTGGTTGTGGTTGTAGTGATAGTAGTGGTTGTGGTCGTCGTGATAGTGGTGGTTGTGGTCGTAGTGATAGTAGTGGTTGTGGTCGTAGTGATAGTGGTGGTTGTGGTCGTCGTGTTAGTAGTGGTTGTGGTCGTAGTGATAGTGGTGGTTGTGGTCGTAGTGATAGTAGTGGTTGTGGTCGTAGTGATAGTGGTGGTTGTGGTCGTTGTGATAGTAGTGGTTGTGGTCGTAGTGATAGTAGTGGTTGTGGTCGTAGTGATAGTAGTGGTTGTGGTTGTAGTGATAGTAGTGGTTGTGGTCGTTGTGATAGTAGTGGTTGTGGTCGTCGTGATAGTAGTGGTTGTGGTCGTCGTGATAGTAGTGGTTGTGGTCGTTGTGATAGTAGTGGTTGTGGTCGTAGTGATAGTAATGGTTGTGGTCGTAGTGATAGTAGTGGTTGTGGTCGTCGTGATAGTAGTGGTTGTGGTCGTAGTGATAGTAGTGGTTGTGGTCGTAGTGATAGTAATGGTTGTGGTCGTAGTGATAGTAGTGGTTGTGGTCGTTGTGATAGTAGTGGTTGTGGTCGTAGTGATAGTAATGGTTGTGGTCGTAGTGATAGTAGTGGTTGTGGTCGTCGTGATAGTAGTGGTTGTGGTCGTAGTGATAGTAGTGGTTGTGGTCGTAGTGATAGTAGTGGTTGTGGTCGTAGTGATAGTAATGGTTGTGGTCGTAGTCGTAGTGATAGTAGTGGTTGTGGTCGTCGTGATAGTAGTGGTTGTGGTCGTCGTGATAGTAGTGGTTGTGGTCGTAGTGATAGTAGTGGTTGTGGTCGTAGTGATAGTAGTGGTTGTGGTTGTAGTGATAGTAGTGGTTGTGGTCGTTGTGATAGTAGTGGTTGTGGTCGTCGTGATAGTAGTGGTTGTGGTCGTTGTGATAGTAGTGGTTGTGGTCGTCGTGATAGTAGTGGTTGTGGTCGTTGTGATAGTAGTGGTTGTGGTCGTCGTGATAGTAGTGGTTGTGGTCGTCGTTGTTGTGGTCGTAGTGATAGTAGTGGTTGTAGTGATAATAATGGTTTTGGTGGCAACAGTTACTGTTGTAGTAAAAGTATTTCTAAACACTCTAGCTTCTGACAACTATATAAAAGTGAAGTAAACATCTCCCGTTTTCCTGCCGCATGGAACCGGCAATCTACATGCAGATTTTCACCACTTATGTAAGAAATATAAACTTCATTTAACATTCAAAACATTTAACCGGCTTATATTAAATCCCCAACTCAAGGACTAAACATCGAATGTTGTTTTTTGAAATATATTTACGAAGTGATTGCAGTCGACTCTAAAAGCTTTGAAGTGATATATGTTTTATCAAAACTCCGATTTACACTTTAAGAAATGTTTTTGGATTAAAGCGACGATGTAAATCTTTAATAGGCGGTTAATATGTTTTTGCAAAACAACATACCAAGCTCATACTAAAACAAATAAAATGAATTTTTTCAGGAAACACGAAATAAACAGAATAGGCATCTGCCAGTTCAAAGATTACAATCTACGAGTCCTTCCCATTCCACCACTATAGTCTTGTATTGTTTCTGTATTCTTCTGATAAGTTTTTTAAAAATAGTTTTGCAAAATGACAGTTTGATTTGGCGATGTTCTTATTACCCCGGCGTCAGCGACTGAGTTGAAAATTCGCCTCGGTTTTGTTTTTATTTTTCCTCGTCGCAAGTGTGTAATGGCGCAAAAATACTAGTATTTGAAATGTGTATGTGATTGGATTTATCTACGTCCCAGTGTTATCTCCCAAGTGTTGTGGTGCACAGCTTTGGCTAATTTTCCGATGCGCGATTCGACTTCGCTCGCATGATACGGCAATTCCTCCAAGAGGAACAAA